TGCATAGAAATATCAATATCTATAAATAATGTCTTAGTAAGATGCTATTTAAATGCTTAGTTTTATGATCAAAGCTCTGTAGTTTTACATATAATACAAAGCAATACAATGATGATTGATAAATGAACAAATAAACCTTCCCCAAAAGCCTGATGATCATATTTGAGACTCAAGAGATACAAAAATGAGGTACAAAATAAGAGATTTTGAGATAGAAAAATGATGTATGGATAATCAATAGTAAAACTGCTTCAGTCCAGTAAGAGTTATTTGTACGTTTACTTTTCACAGCAAAAAACAAACAAACACATGAACCACAAAATACTAAAAGGCTTTTACTTCTAAACTATCAGACGACTTTTATGCAACAAGTTTTCTGAGATCATGTTGATCTAGAGGCCGTAGAAATTCATGCACTGAATATGATACAGTAAGTTTATCGAGTTAAATATTAAGCTTATATCAGGAAACCAAAGGATTTTAGAGCATGGCAAAGCATTTTTGATAAACTTGCTGGGGAAGAAAAGCAGAACTGAAAGAGCGTCACACATTAAAGTCTCCAAAGACGAATCGCTGTGAAGTACCTTCAGGCACTGAAAAGAAACGAGGGAAAGCCTCAGAAATATCCTGACTGGAGAAGGACCTCAGGAAGCGCCTCTTCCGGTGCATTCAAAGCCTTTCCCTGACATTTCCTTACAGAAATACAAATGCAAACCACAATACACAAATGCGAAGACACACGCTTGACCAATGCATTGCAATCGCATACTGCTTTACTATGGCATTGATAAACATCAATGATAAAGTTACCATCAAATGTCTGCGTCAGTAACCCAGATTGCACGTCTGTTCAGTTTGCATGATGTTATTGTGGTTTAGATTTGGAAATCAAAAACTTGTTATAAAATTAATTTCGATTCCTCTTGTGTGAGCATTTCAATACAAGTTTAAACCATTCAAATGCGACGACATGCTCACAGAAAATGTGATTTTAGCCTAATATTCCTGCTGCCGTCTCTATAATAACAACAGACAAAGAGAAAATTCACTCGTTCTTGACTGAATAACTATATTTGTAATGTATATTTTAAGTATAAACTGCAGTGATATTTTACATTTGATCATCTAAAAATATTAAAACACGGTTTATTTCAATCCTATCTGTGTTCAGCTGTATCTATTTGCTGCGATCGCTAACTTTTTATTTCTTCTTTTTTAATTACCGAGAGTTTAAATGCTTGAGATTTATATTAGTTCGGTTAGTTGTTTTTCTATGGTATTTTTAAACCACGGGTGTAAGTGTTTTTTAGCCTGTTGTTTTTTGTTCAAGCTAAAATTATATGTTTAGCAATAAGACTAAATGTGAATGATATCCATGTTGTTTTTTATCTTTTAGCAAAATGTGCTGTCATATCAGCTACATGAAATTATAATGAGAACATTACTATTGTGTTAGGGGATGGATTTTAATTGTGAGACTTTTTTTTTGCAATCAGGATTTCAAAAATTGTATAAAAAATTGGATTTAGATTTATCGGCCGATATATCGGTTATCGGCTTTCAAATATAACGAATTATCGGTTATCGGTATCGGCCAAAATGTTCATATCGGTGCATCCCTACATTTATGCATATAGAATATATGCACTTGGCATTTCCATCCATTATTTTTACATTTTTAAGCAATATCCTAAACATAGCAAGTGTCTGCCAGCCTAACCAACTGCACAACTGGTTATATTTTAAAACCTGAGGCATTACAATCATTTTTAAAAATGTTAGAAAGCTAAAACAGACAGGGAGGTTATGGTCAGCGTTTGATTTAATATGTTTAATACGGCACAAGTAGCCATAACTTGGACACATTCCTTTTAAAATAAACATCGTTTCAAGTGTAGTGTTTTCTCTCCATGAGCCTAGATGGATTAAAACGCTTGCATACACAGACGAGTGTCATGAAGTTAAGTCATGCCAGGCATGAACAATTAGGAGCGTTTAGCTGACTTATACATGACGCAACACATAATAACCACATTACAACTACAAGACACGACTCACTCGACCTGACGGACGCCTTATAACTGTTAGGTGTGTCTCCATGAGTCGAGACCAGACACTCCACTTCCACCAGTTTTTACCCGTATCCAAATGGAAACACAAATCTGCAGTAACATGAGCACTGGAAACGAGTCTATTTCTGACATAATCACAGTTTTGCTGGCTATTCTTAAGACTGTGTGGGGTTTGTCCCTTTTGCCACTTCATGGGTGTCGATAGACCTTATTCAGAGCGGCGCCATGACAGGAATATGAATTATGAAAGCGAGGCTGTGAAGGAAAGACTCCTAGATCACTTGGAAAGATATTTTTGCAGTGTTTTGTCAGCAGAACAATCCCAAAACACATTAAATAACAGTCCAAACGTGTCTATCCCTCACAGCCTCGCTTTCATTCCTGATGAAGGCCCAATCGCCGCTTCCAACCAATGCATTTCCATGACTTTCCCAGTTGTTTGTGAACACCAGATAGAGAGAGACGGTACTGATATATTGCTGAACCGCTTCAGGTGTGTTTAACGTGCGCTGGATGTAGTTTGAACAGGTTCTGAACTCAGGAAACTAGCCTAGATTCTTTGGTGTTTAACCTTAACGGTCACCGTCCCGGTACCGGGACGCCTAACTTAACTTCACTATATTTCTATTAAATCCTAATCTAATTATGACAAATTATATATTGTTGGAAAGGTCTAAGACTTCTTAATAAATATTTGACCCCTGTTTTGTGTTACAAATTATGTAGGAAGAGTAATTGATGAATTTATGACCAGAGTGCACCTCAAAAAATCTGCATCATAACAGGAGGTCTGACCTTTGTCACAAAAAGTCAATGCAGATGCACCCAATTTTAATCATTGAAACTTCTGTTTTTATGCTAAAAGTTCATAATAAAACAAATAATCTTTTTTTTTTATAAAAAATAAAATATATATATATATATAAAATTATATATATATAAAAATCTATATATAAATATATATATATTATCCTCTAAAATATAATATTATTTTTTATCGCCTTTTTTATTATATCACATATTTTAGTAGTTATCATAAATTAGGTATCATTTGAAAGCTTATAAACTTAGAATTCATCCTGTGAATCTCGTTTTATAATTGAACATTGCGTTACCATAGAAACGGTACTTATTTTATCAGGCTCCTCCCCTTTTAGGCATCATTATATTTCATAATTTATGATCAAAACCTTTTCTAATCTTGACAAAACACATATTGCCAGAAAGGTCTGAGTATCAATGTTCCAAATTTTGTGACAAAATTGATATTTGGACAGAGATGTATTAATTTGTTAAGGCAGAATGTATACAACAAAATTCAATGGAATTCAATGGCACCCGGTGGCTATTTTTGGTACTACGCCTAAACAAAATCTCATGGGAACTTCAAAATTAGAACATAACTTGGTTAGATTTATGGCTTTGATTTTATAGTAATTTTAGAGTGAAAAATATATATTTTATATAAAATATATAGTACAGTATATTTGATTTACTGTCAATTTAAACTTCCATAACTTTTTCATACTTTCATTTTTCAAAGTGTTTTCACTTCAACAATAATCTGCTGAGTGTTTCCTTTAAAACAAGACCAAACTTGGGTATATATTCCAAAGCATTCTTGAATTACAACCATTTAAGTGTGAATAATGCATTTTAATCCCCATTCTCAAAAAGGGGGATGACAGTTAAGGGGTTAACTAGTTGGTTAAATCTCAGTATGTTAAAGGGTTAGTTCACCTAAAGATGAAAATCATCCCATAATTACTCGCTCTCAAGCCATATGACTTTCTTCTTTCATCTAAACACAGTCTATACACAAAGAGTAATACTAGAAAATACCCAGCTTTATAATGGGAGTGAATGGAGCCTGAGATTTTGAAGCCCAAAAAAGCGAATCCATCAATCATAACAGTGATCCATACGCCTGCAGGGGTTAATAAAGGCCTTCTGAAGCGAAGCCATGAGTTTTTGAAAGGAATATATCTATAACTTTATAAACTATAATAACTGGCTCTGTCCCAACGTATGACCTCTTGATGAATGCAGAAGCACAGAGGATAGAGCAAAACAAAACACTGCTCATGAATTATAAGTCGAAAACAATAATTTTTGAAGAGAAATGTGGGAGGATCTTTAGTTTCTCGTTTTATTTCTACATCCTACGTCATGTGTCAGGTCAGAGGTCAATCTTCTACAAGAACTAGATTCACAAACAGTCATTACCGGAAGCCAGTGATTATAGTTTATAACGTTATAAATGTGTATATTTCTCTTACAAAAACATGGCTTCGCTTCAGAAGGCGTATGGATCACTGTTATGAGGGATGGACGCACTTTTTAGAGCTTTAAAATCTCAGGATATTTTTAATATAACTCCTTGGATGAAAAGTCATATGACGGAGGATGGCTTGGGGCGAGTACATTATCATGGGATAATTTCCATTTTTAGGTGAACTATCCCTTTAAGACAATGGTTTTGTACAACAAGTTTTCTGTTATGTTTAAATATAGCCCAGAAACAAATTTGAATACAGTTACAGAACACTTTAAGACTCTTTAAAAATTTTAAATATATGTCTATATTTATTTTTTCTAATATTTTTATTGGATGTTTTCTTTCCACTAATCTAAAAAATAAAATTAACAACAGGTTATGATTTCAGTATCTCGCATTGAATGTTGAAAACACAGCAAGTTACACTTGGGATAAATATGATTATGACTTTGCGTTGACTCACACAGACCAGCAGCACCACAGCTGATGTTTACCTCAGACACTTTAGGTGAGTTAACGTTAAATCCTACTGTTTATTTACATTCCGCGCGCATATATTTCACCTCAGCGACTCTCTCAGCTTCAGAAGTGACTTTTAAAGCTCCTCAAGTGGCCTAGTTTGACTCGTGCTGTCAGATATTCCTCCTCACCTCTTCTGCGCTCTTCCTCAGCGCTTTCTCTCGCTCGTACTGGGTCATGAGCTGCTCGTTGTCCTCCTTCAGGAGCTCCAGGTCCACCTCGTGCTCCTGGTTCACCGCGAACACCGAGTCCAGGTTCTCCAGAACCGCCACGACCAGCGGCATAAGTTCCTTCACCACGTCCTCGTCGTATCTGCCGATCATCCGCTCGAACTCGCGGTAAATGGAGCTCGCCAAGCCGGACACCCGCTCGGACATCATCGCAGAAGTGCCCGGGTCCTCCTGGTAAAGCACACCCTCCTCCAACTCCATCTTTACTTCGCTTTTACTTCGTTTTTACTTTACTTCAAGACGCTAGCAGGGGACAGCTCGCGCGCTAACCGTCGAGATCTCGGTTTACTAAGTGTTGGACTACATTTACGAGTAACTTTTTTTGGAAGCCCCTTCAACATTAAGAGAAAATAAAAACCTCTCCGTTGTCAAGCTAACTCGTCTCGTTTGTGTGTTTTTATTTTATTTTTATTTATTTTTTTGACCGGGATAATCTGCACTAAACGGCAGTCGTTAAGTACTACAGTCCCGAGTCTCCCGACCGTCACATGATGACGTCACGCTCCACTGGAGAAGGGGGAGGAGCCAGGGCGTTTGTTGACACCCTTCAAACTTATGCTTTTTTCGGTTCGTTTAAATATTTGCATATAAACATCGCGTTTAATAGCTTGTTGATTTAAAATTTCATTTATATATTATTATCTGCACGTGTCAAGAGAGAATCAACAAGTGACCACAGTTTCTGTACTATTCACGAACTATAAGCACACACACTGTGTATATGTACACATACATGGACATACAGGTGAAACTCGAAAAAATGTAATATGGTGCAAAAGTTATCATTTTAAACGTCTTAGTTTATGAAAATCCCAAATTCAAAATCTCAGAAAATTAGATTACATGAAAAAATAAATAAATAATGGATTTTAAATACAGAAATGCCGGCCATCTGAAAAGTATAATCATGCATATGTATATATATACTAAATATATTAGTTTCACCTTTTAATTGGAATTACTGAAACCCATGAACTTTTGCACGCTATTCAGATTTTTCTAGTTTACGCACACACACACACATACATTATAGTAACTGTGGTCACTTTTTCACAAGAACCACTTAAATATTTGCATATAAACGTCGCGTTTAATAGCTTGTTGATTGAAAATTACATTTATATTTTATTATCTGCACGTGTCAATAGAGAATCAACAAGTGACCAGTTTCTGTACTATTTTCACGAACTATATATGCACACACACACACACATATATATATATACACACACACACACACATATATATATATACATGCACAGCACATACAGGTGAAAATCGAAAAATTCGAATATCGTGCAAAAGTTATAATTTTGATGATTATGTCTTATGAAAACCCCAAATTCTAAATCTCAGAAAATGTGAATATTACATGAAAAAAAAAAGAATAAATAATGGATTTGTATATGTATATAGTTATATATACTAAACATATTAGTTTCACCTTTTAATTTGAATGACTAAAATACACGAACGTTTGCACAATATTCTAATTTTCCGAGTTTACGCACACACTATAGCAACTGTGGTCACTGTTTCACAAGAACCACTAATAAACATGCATTTTTCAATCTCACTTTTCTCAGCATGGAACAGATACATTTTTTTTTTTCAACATTTTTTATTATTGAAAAAGCACGACACCCTGAAAAACCTGAAACGGCTGCAGTGGAGAAACATGTTTTCATGCGTTCGGTGCCATGCATCAGAGTCTCATACGGCGGATGCGTTTCACTGATCTACAATCAGTGCAAAACACTCTTTTTTGGCAAATGATCACACAATTCCCATGTGACAAAGACACATCACAAAAACATTACACCCCACTCATAATACTGACTTTCTGAATCGCTCGTCTTTGCACAACCGCTAATATGAAAAGAATCCTCACGTTTGAACAACACAGCATTGCAAATAATGTCATGATGGAGGGAATACACAGGCGTTCATGAAGCAGACGCAGCACTGGGATCATAAGGCAGAAATAAATACGCATGTTGAATGTCTGTGTGTGAGATGTGTTAGCGCTCAGATGACGTTGAGGTGGCTGTTGCTCATGGAGGATGGGCAGAGCGCCGACGGGTGCTGATCTCGGGTCAGACTCCTCAGGGCCCGCAGAACCACATCCGGCATGTGATCCGCCATCATCCTCGGGCTGATCAGAACGTTCCGGAACGACGTCTCGCTCGACCACTCCGCCCGGTACCTCACCGGAGAGAAGCAGTGTCTGTGTGAAGAGAAGAGCGCAACTGGGATTAAATATGACAGAAAACGATTTTATTATATATTTGATTTATTATCATATTTTTTTAAAAATACTCTTTTTAAATCAAATACTGTTTTCTATTTTTATTTATTATTATTATTATATTTTAAACACCTTTTATTAAATACTCTTTTAATTTTTTATTATATATTGTATTCTTTTTATTATTACTATTTTTAATGATTATTTTTAAGATACTCTGTTTTCTATTTACATTTCATTTAAAAATATATAATTTGTTTTAATTTTTATATTCACAAAAACATTTTTAATTTAAATACTCATTTTTAGTAATTATTTTTTAAACACCCTTTAATTAAACACTCTTTTTAATTTTTTATTATATATTATATTACATTTTTTTTGAATTATTATTTTTAAGACACTGTTTTCTATTATACATTTCAGTTAAAAAATATATTATTAGTTTCAATTATTTGTATAAATATTGATACTTTTGTTATTGTAATTAGTATATTTACAAAAACCTTTTTAATGAAATACTCATTTTTTATTATTTATTATTTATATTTTTAAACACCCTTTAATTAAATACTCTTTAAAATGTATTATATATTGTGTTCAATTATTTTTAATTATTATTTGAGATACTGTTTTTTATTATACATTTCATTAAACAAAATATTATTATTTAAAATTATTTATATCTATAAATAATTAAATATCCCTTTAATAATTTATTATTGTAATTCATTTAAATTATAATATTTACAAAAACATTTTTAATTAAATACTAATTTTATTTTTTGTTTTTATTAGTAGAATAAAATTATTCATTATTATTATTTTAAATCCTCAAAATACTCTTTTCTACTTTTTATTATACATTTTACTTTTATTATTATTAATATTATATTTTTTAAATACTCTTAATTAAATGTTCTTTTTATAATACATTGTATAGTTTGTACAGTATATCTGCTATTTTCAAGCTCGTCTCATTCTGTACATTTTATAATGTTGTATCCACTGTTAATCCACTGTCAAAAGTGACAATAAAGACATTTATAATGTTACAACAAATGTTCTTTCAACACTGATAATAAGCATAAATGTTTCTTGAGCATCAGATCCTCATATTAGAGTGATTTGTGAAGGGTCATGTGACACTGAAGACTGGAGTAATGATGCTTTGATCACAGGATATAAATTACACTTTACTGTATATTCACATAAAAACAGATGATAATAATATTTTTTTTTTAAATGACAGTATGTTTGAGCCTTTCAAACACATGATGATAGAGTCTGAACCTCAGTGTTATGTTAAAGGTGCAGGATGAGATGTGCCGGCTCTGACCTGCGTGTGGGCCCGTCCTCGGTGATGTGCATGACCCGGCCCGGCAGGTACAGGGGTAAGTGTGTGTGGTGGGTGGGCGAGTCGTCAGACGACAGGCTCTGATAGGTTGTCGAGCGTCGCACCAACAGACTCTCCTCGCCTAGCAACGGATGGTTAAGCTCCTCCTCTCTTCGGTTCTCCATCTCCGTGGGGAAATCATCAGGAGTTCCTCCAAACACCTCGTACCAGCAGCCGTGCATTAATATCTTGTACTGAGAGAGAGAGAGAGAGAGAGAGAGAGAGAGTTGAACGCACATGAAAGTTGTAAATACCAAGTGGGAAGCTCTGGATTTTCTCTAAGAAACGAGTAGTTAAACAACAAGTCTAGGCTACTAGTGAGTCTTCGTGAGGAGTCTGCCCGAAAATGTGGTTCGAGATCGCCCAAAATGTCCGGGATTGGGCTTTTGCGTTCTACAGTGGCCATTCGTTATGTCATCATCATAATAATGTGTTGTTTAGGCTTTAATAATCTTACCTTTGGTTTGCTGCAGTTAGACACCACTTTTAATAATCTTCTTTTCAGGTCTTCCATGTTTGGGATACTCAATCTGCAGAAACCAGACGAGGCCAGGCCGTTTGAGGAAGTGATATCAAACGTACAGCACAAGCAGAAGTCAGAAGAAAGCTCAAGATAGCCACAGTTTCGTATACGCAGAGGCGATATAAATAAACCTCACCTGGGCACAAGATCTTTACCCAGCACCACCGAGACGACGAACTGCTTGGAGTAATCGGCCAGCGCTTTACTGACGAGAGACAGCACACACCACTTCAAAACCACCACGATACAAACGTGCTAATGACTGTCAAAGTTAGATACTCTCTGTCAAAAGGTTTGAATAATTCACAAATTGATCAAAACAGACAGTAAATACATTTTTAATGATATAGTTTTCAATTTCAAATAAATGAGAATCATTTGTGAAAGAACTAAAAATCCAGCTTTGATCACAGGAATAAAATACATCTTAAAACACATTACAATAGAAAACAGTTCTTTCAATTTGTAGTAATATTTCACATTATTAACAGTTTTTACTGTATTTGGACAAATAAATGAGCAAAATAATCTTTTTAAAACATCTTTATTCCATATTCCTACCAATTATTCTTATTACATGCGTCATTTATATATATATATATATATATATATATATAGTTTATATATTAGTGCTGTCAAATCAATTAATCATGATTAATCACATCAAACATAATTTTGTTTATATAATCTATGTGGATTATAAAATTATAAATATATAAATATATATATATATATATTAGGGCTGTGCAAAAATTAATTGCGATTAATCGCATCCAAAATAAAAGTCTGTGTTTACATAATATATTTGTGTGTGCTGTATATAATTATTTTGTATATATAAATACCTATGCATGCATGTATATATTTAAGAATTATTTGCGCTTAAATTCTGTATATATATATAAAAATACATAATCTATATTATATAAATATAAGTATTTTATATATGAATAACACATTTTCTTAAATATATACATGCATGTGTGTGTATTTATATATACAAAATAATTATATACAGCACACACAAATATATTATGTAAACACAGACTTTTATTTTGGATGCGATTAATCGCAATTAATTTTTGCACAGCCCTAATATATATATATATATAGTTTATATATATATATATAGTTTATATATTAGTGCTGCCAAATCAATTAATCATGATTAATCACATCTAGCATAAGTTTGTTTATATAATCTATGTGGATTATTATATATATATATATATATATATATATATAGTATAGTATATGCTGTGTGTGTGTGTGTGTGTGTGTGTGAGAGAGAGAGAGAGGGAAAGAGAGAGTGTGTGTGTGTGT